ACTTATTTGGAAGGATGGAAAGGTAACGAAAAGTGCATAAGGTTCAATGAAAAGTTTCAGTGTATTGGGTCCTTCTCATCGGAAACATTTATTAGATGGCTAAGTTATTTATTTTGGGTGTCAGGGCTGGATTAAGATTTCAAGGAGAAGAAAAGTAGCCTCTGACCCTCAGGCACTCACATTCAAGAAGAGAGACAGTCCAGTTGCTAAATAATGACAGGGGCCATAGGTGCTGAGCTAAACAAGATGGAGCTGCATAGGACTGTGCCTTCTGCAACTCAGCCACTCTCTAAGGCCTGGACTGCCTCTGCATCAAATGGCCCAGGTATGTTCACTTAGGATGGCTACACCTTCTTTTCAACAAGCAGGGAAACAGGGGAGAAGGTTCAAGGAAGAAGGGAGAAAATTTGTTATGAGAAAATTAGATGGTGATTTGCATACAGCCAATGAGACTATAAAATACAGAAGGTGACATCATGAGCCACATCTGTGAAATTATATAGGGGACTTCTCAGTCTCAACCATTTTGATGTCAAGTGTTGACAAAACACTGTGAAATAAAGTGCTGGTCCAGAATGGAGACCTGGTTTCCCACCAATGCCACTTCCACCAATGGTTCATATCGTTAGCTCCCAGTTTTGCTACCAATTGAGAAATGACTGGTTTCAAATACTGTCTCTATTTTGGCGAATCCCAAATTTATCTTTCAAAACAAGACATCTCTTTAGGTTTGAATATCCAACTACCTACTTTGACATCTACCTCAGAGACATCTCAAAGATACTATGTTCACAGCTGAATTTTTGACTGCCGGTGATCCTCCCATTGTAAGCTTTTCCTTCTCAGGGTTTCTAATTCAGTACATGGTAACACATCCAGCCAATGGTCAAAACTGGAGGGATTCATTCCTGATACCTCTCTCTCCTTCACTACCCAAACTCCTGCTCGACCCAATCTTTCTTTCAATCTTGTCAATTCAAATTATGTCTTTCCGCACCTCACTACCTACCCTGCACCTCCCTCATCTAAGCTACCTTCATCCTCCTCAGAACTCCTACAGTAGCCTCTTAAAGAATCTGCTCTCGCCCTTTTCTAATTCACCTTCCACATGATAGCTGGGTGCTTCTCCTAAAATATAAATCACATATGTCCTCACCCTGCCTACACACCTTAAATTACTTCTCAATACACTTAGAATAAGCTCTAAGTTCTTGACCATAGTCTACAAAGGCCTACATGATCCATCTCCTGATTCTTCCTCCAAATTCATGGTTCTCTGTGCTTGCGCTGTGCTGGTCTCTGAACATGTCAGGTCTTACCCTCTTTAGGGTTGCTTGACTCTTTTTCCTCTGCCTGGCACACTTTCCTTTCCCCTTATTCTTGGACCTGGCTAGCCCATCCTCCTTTTTCAGATCTCAGCTTAAAGGTTACTTTATTAGTAGAGAGGTCTGTATACTAGGTAAATTTTGTCCCCATCTCACAACACCTTACTTATTTCCTGTATCTTAGTTATCATAATTTATAACAAATACTCACCTGTGGATTTACTTTTGCAGTCCTTGTCTCCTTAACTAGACTATAAGCTCCTCCAGAAACAGGTCTGTAATTGTTCTTCATATATACAAAGTCTACCCCATTACTTAGAACACAGTAGGTGTTTAATTCATATCTTCTGCTGCACATTGTTAAGACCTGCAAATATCAACTAATTTTATTCCATGCTAAGAAAGTCCAACAAAATGGGTGAGAAAACAAGGAAACATAATTGAATAAGTCTTGTTTCTTCAATCTTTTCAGATTCTAATCCCTCGAATCTCTAGCACAATTCATTTTCTTACTGAACCTTTCCCAGTTTTCCAAGTTGAGAAGGGAAATATCTTGGTAATATGTTTCTTTGCTTTGCTCCGCTAGATGCATTTGGCTTTGTGCAGGAATGTGGCTTCCACAGGTATGGCTGAGAGAGAGATGTTGGGAACAGAAGGGGTGGAAAGGGGGAAAAAGAGGAGGGGAACCATGTGGAGGAAGTGGGTGTCCTTGTGCAGCTTGGACTTCATCCCAACTCACCCACATTGGAGTGTTTTGTTTTGTTTTTTTAATGCCATATACATCCAGTATACTCTTCTTCTCATCTCTAGGAATCCAAAAATAAATGAGCTGTTGGTCACGGGCTTTGTGCTGGCAAAACTGACAAGTATGGGCAGACAGCCTCCTAACTCTAGGAGTCGTCTCTTGTCACTACCACCCACTGCCATTGCCTCTTTGGAGATTATAGTGCACCTATTCCTGCTGACTCCACTGGGAATTTTGTTCCATTTAAGTACCCATTGTTACAGATTGCAGGAAGGAGAATATGGGTTTTTGAGTAGTTTTTTTTTAACTCAAGTAAAGGTCTGTTGCTTCATCTGCTTAATTATTGCCTGATTCTGTTACTAAAGTAAAGCTCTTACCCCTTCCTCTCCAGCACTCATGCTCATATTCTCTTTCTTCTTTCCTATCAGGACTAACTTCCCCCTAATCCCTTTTGACATTCACCTTGACATTTGTTCAATCCACTCTGCATTTTTTGCAGAGACCAACTCAGGGATTCTCTTAGCAGGGCAGGGTTAGCCCAGGACTAACTGTTATTCAAGTCAGACCTTTGGTAGAAAGTTGTCCTACCTCCTTGTTTTAGTAACTCACCCATTAACTCAATTGCATAAAAAAAATTATAGAAATCCACTTTGTTGATTATTGAAAATAGACCTGATAAATTCTGGAATTTGTTTATACCTCCTTCTAAGATTGAAGTCAGCTTGAAACAAATAATTTTTTTTCCATTTGAGTGCAGGGGAGGGGTAGGAAAGGGCTAAGGTAGAAAGAGGAGGAAGAAAGAGGAAGAAGCTACCAAAAAGGAGGATCTAACACTGGATTTCAGTTCCCACTACTGGGAAATGGTTCATTTCCAATTCTGCATTTCAAGAACAAAAAGACATTCTGAATATCTTTTTTATGCTCTTTGGATCAGTATGAATCCTTAGCAGTAATTTATGTCTTCCCGTACTTAAATGGTTAAAATATTTTGGGAAGTGAAATAACCATATTTAAAGATGGTTACAAAGTCAAGACAGGACACTTCAAATACACTGTTCCTCAGATATAGTGTGAGCCACAGAATCCGTTAACAGAACAGCCTTCGGCTTTACTTGACTGTGATAGCCCACTCATTAATTTGTCCATTCATTCAATGTTCAACAAACTCTTTGAACTGAGCATTATAATTTTCAAAGTATTTCCCCTCCTTTTACTTGATTCTCATGAGAATCCTGTGATGATGTAGTACCTTAACAGAAATTACCATTTTAGAGAACAAGAAACTGAGACCCACAGAAGTTAGTCAGTTGTGGAACTTTAACTGGAACCCAGATCATCAGATTTCACATTGCATTCTCTTTCAGTTCTACCTACTTTAACTTAATCAACATTTTCTGAGTGTGCAATGTGTTGGGCGCAAATCAAAGAAAACAAAAATGAGGTTGAGGAACTCCTAGCCTATCAAAGAAAGGAAAGATCTAGGCATGGGAATGGAGGGGAGGTAAGGGAATCCTGGGAGTCAGGTGTAGAAAACTCTTGTAGGAGATGAGATTGGAGAGAAGCTTGAGGGCCTAAGGTACTTGATTTATTGAATCACCACCACCATCATCTAGCTTTTTCAATATATATATCCCGAATTATGGTCTTTATTAACATTCTTATTAATCTTTTTCTGTCCCACTTTCTTATTTTGCTGGCATTTTAGTGCCAGTTCTTTCAAAGAGTTAAGTTTTTCTTAACTTGGTGTTTATATACTGAAAGCTGTTGGACCTCCAACTGATTGTAGGGTTGTTGAGATCTTGTCTGGTAGTATTATGCATGTGCCATTATACCCAATTCATCCTTGCCTGGCCACAGAGAGGAATTGGTTACAGTTCCTGGTAGATGGGTGCCATCCTGCTGGACCTCCTTGACTAGGGTGCTATGGAAACTGGTCTGGATGCAGGGTTGGCACCTGGACATATCATCTGTCAGTTTATTCCCCAAAGGTCTGGGATTCCCAGAAGTTTGGGGTGAACCTGGGCTTAGTCTGGTAAGCATCTGGATCTATTAGGTGTCCATTCCTGTTAGGGATTGTGTTGGTTCTGGGGTTCAGGCTATGAATGTTACTTGAGGTTGTGCTTTGGAACAGCATGATGCTGGGTGATCTATCTGTTCACAGTAGAAACTGTCAGGTGCTAGAAGATATAAAGCAAAGCTCTGACCTGCAGGCTGAGTCAAGCTAATGACAGTGATGATGGAAATAGCTGAGGCTCTGTGTGTGCTCCAGGCTCTTGTGGATCTTCCCTCATTGGGTTTTGGGTATAACTGGATGGTACTGTGGTGGCTGGGTTATATCCTGCTCTCATCAATACTGGATGAAAAACTCAGAGGCTGAACCTGCCCAAGAATAAGTCAATGCCCCATGCTGATATTGGAAGTAGAACACATTCTCTGAGAAGAAACCAGAGGTTTTCATTCGGCTCAGAATCAGGACCTTTGGGGCCCAGTCTTGGCTCTAGGACTATTTTTCCATGACCTAAAGCAAGTTTTAGCACCTTTCATGGCCTTTGTTTCTTCAGTAGACTATGTGCCCCTTGGTCCCATGCTGTATTCATATTTGTTTCCCCGATGCTGGGGATCTTAGATGTTAGATACTTAACACAGTGTTGACCCCACAAAAACTGTCAAAAAACTGTGTGTTGTTTGAACAAGCTAATGAGTGAATGAATAGAGCGAGCTGAGAATAAGGAATTAAACTAGTGGTTTAAGGGAAGAAGGGCTTAATCAGCATGATGGTCCTTACCTATCCCCTAGATTCTGATGTCCAACCCCATGTACTTTTTCAAGAACCAGTGATTCAAATAATGGTATGTCCCCAAAAGCTGACCACAGCATTATGATGTTGTAAAGACAGACACATTGATATAGTTTATTAAAATCTTTTTTCTTAGCATTTACTAGTTATACATGTTGTAAGAATCAAAAATAAATTAGTAGCCCCAGAAGGATCCCAAGGAAGTCTATCTACCAGGAAGGCTCCTGGGTGGTCTCACAGACAGCAAAGTAACAAGGAAACCCTTTGACATTTGCAAATGCTACGAAATAGCAACAAACAAGATAACCACACTAAGAGCAAGTGGGTGGAGACAGTTCAAAGATTTACAGGACCTACCTAATCTCATTATGGTCCTTGTGCTCAGAAAGGGTAATGTTTTGTTGGTAAAGTGTCTCACAGAGTGAAAGGTCTTCTCTAAGAGTGAGTGGCCAGTTTTCACTTTTGCTATAGACCCTAAAGATGTGGGTAGCATCAACTTTAGGTCAAACATTCAAAACCGTTATTTAGGGGACTGTTTGCATTTAAAAGACTTCACCTAGAGCTTTTCCGTGTCTTGAATATGTGCTTGTTACATAGATAGATATCAAACTAATATATAAGCATTACACAATTTGAAAGAAAAGGATAAAGGAGGGGAAAAGCATTCATAATTCTACTACTCTAAAGCAATCACTGTAAATATTTTTTATTAACTGTGCATTCTTATATCTAGTCTATTTTCCTTAAGTATTATAAACATAGGTGTGAATATACTATATACATACATTACATATGCATACATATACTTCTTTACCTGTTACCATAAGTATTTTCCAATTCTAATTTTTAAAAAATTACTTGTATTATAATTTACTTAACCACCCTCCATCCAATATCCTTTTCTCCAACGTAGTCATGATGGGGCATGTAGGTTGTTTTTGTTGTTAGATGTAAAGCTTGGACACATATATTCATTCAAAGATTTTTTTTTTCCCTTGATTGTTGAATTGTGCCTTGAAAATAGATTCCTAGAAGTAGAATTACTGAGTCAAAGGGCATGGCTGCATTTATGATTCTGGAGGTATGTGAGCAAATAGATCACTGAAAGAGTCTTGATAACCAGTACATATTATGATAGTATTCCATCACTTCATTTCATCAAGAATTCACATATCAGTTTCCATAGTGACTATAAGTATTGGCTTAAATATCTTTTTTTAAATTTTTTTATTAATGTATCATTGATATATACTCTTATGAAGGTTTCACATGAAAAACATTGTGGTTACTACATTCATCCATATTATCGAGTCCCCCCCCATACCCCACTGAAGTCAGTGTCCATCAGTGTAGTAAGATGCCAAAGAGTCAATACTTGTCTTCTCTGTGCTACACTGTCATCCCCCTGCCCTTAATACCACCTGGCAGAGAGGTTGGTAGGGGTGGGGAAAGTGAAGTGAAGAAGGAAGAGACACTTAAAACTTGAGTGCAGCCCCAGAACTAGACAATATGGATAACTGACAGTTAGTTAGAAATTAATGAGGCATTTCTAAAATAATATACATCAATTAGTAGCAGTCTTCAGTTTACCAAAATGAATACTATGGCAGAAGAGATGATTCAGGTTGGACTGGTTGATGGGAATCAACTCTGTCACTAATTTGAGGGATCATTTTTGTAAATCATTTTCCCCTCTGGACCTTTTTCAATTGTAGAATTTGAAGGTTGAACATTAAGGAGAGTGTAGACTATGGGTGTCATATCCAGATAATGAAGACACATGCATAGAATTATGGGGTCCAGTCAACTGTTCTTTTCTAGACACCTAGAGTTACTACTCTGATGAGATCCATGGTTCTATCAGAGTTGTGCCATGAAATAGCAGACATTCTAGGAAGTTATGAATCCCCAAATTCTATTATGTCCCATATGGACTGATGGCAAGATCTTTCAGGGCCATGTTTCCATGCAGGGTTTCTGCAGAGAATGTTGAACAAATGGACTGATGAGGCAGTTTGAGCCATCTACCACCATGAGGACATCTGGCATTTGGCGCCTCCCTAGTGTTCTCCTGACAGTTCCCTATCTGGATGGTGGCACACAGAAATTAGCAAGATGATACCAATTTATTCAACTAATGAATAAATGTAGCTTCCCTCATTACCTGGTCTCCACTCTGAGTGGGAAGCATGACCTCTCAGATTTCAACAGAGGCCTGGGTCAGTTTTTGGAGGCTTCTGATATTGAAACAAACAAACAAAAAGATACTGTTATTATTAATATTTTACATTAGTAGGGCACATTTGTAACAATTAATGATACAATGTTGAAACATAATACTGACTGAAGTTCACTAATTAGTCATATTTTAGCTTTACCTTATGTCTTTTTCTGTTCTATACTGTGTTAAGTTGTCATGTCTCCTCTGGCTGCTCTTGGTTGTGGCAATTTGTCAGACTTTTTGTGTTTTTGAGGAGCTTGATGATTTTGAGGAGAACTTCACCACACACCTCATGGGAGAGCCCTCTGTTGGGATTGAGCTGATGCTCCTCTCACAGACGCGGGTCCTGGAGGTATAAAGACTTTTTCACCACCTCATATCAAAGGTACATACAATCAACATCGTTTATCACTGCTGACGTTGACTCTCAAATCCTGGCTGATGTAGTGTTTGTCAGTTCTCCACCTAAAATGACCATCCCTCTCCCCCTTCCCATATTGCACCCTTTGGAAGGAAGTCACAACACACAGCTCACACTTAAGGAGATGGAAGTTGTACTCCCCTTCCACGAAGGCAGTGTATCCACATACATTATTTAGAATTCCTCTGCAAGGGATGTTTATCTCTTCTCTCCATTTATTATTTTTTTCAATAAATTTTTATGTCTGTGTGAACTCATGGATATTTATTTTATACTTTGTGTTATAATCAAATGTTATCTATTTATTTTGTTGTTTAAAATTTCCAGCTTTGGTCACTGGGAGCTGTCCAGGTAGCTCCAACATCTCTGAAATATACCCCTACCCCATCAATGTAGGTGTGTGTGTGTGTGTGTGTGTGTGTGTGTGTGAGCAAATCCTTACTTTACAGGGCTTCAAGGTATACCCCCCTAATTTAGCATATTTCCTGCTCCAGTCCTAGAATCAACCATTTCTCCAAGGAGCCTTGCTTCCATTACTGGGGAACGGTATTGGCAATCGAGAGCTGGGCACTAGGTACACTCATTGCTCCTGTGGCATCATTGCTTTCAGGCAAAATATATATAAAAATTTACATTTTCAACACCAACATACAGACAATTATAATACAACTTCACTATTCATAAGATAATTATAGATTTATTAACAACATTAAGTCTCAGTAGTGGAGGAGCTTGTGAGGGTTCCTACACCGGTCTTACAATAGGACCCACACACAAAACTTGTGCATAATGATCTTCTCCTTTCCATCCTGTCAATGTACCCGTAAGACTGATGTTGAACTTCAGTGCAGAGCATGTCAAACACAAACTTCGAGGCCTTCTCTGAATGCAAGGCCACAGCAAATGGTTCTTTTGCAAGGCTACCCACTCCATTTCCTCATTCCATGAAAAGCCATAGAAAAAACAGTGGATTTAGAACCAGGGCATCAAAATTCTAGATCTGACTCTGTCAATGACTCAGTGTGTGCCATTCTTTCTGGGTCTCAATTTCCAATTACATAAAATCAGCAGTATTTGGATAATCCCTAAGGACCCTACCAGCTCTAGCATATTATAACTCTTAAAAGTTTTGAACTGATAGAATGTAATTGGCTTCACCTCTGCCTATAAATGGGCATCAATATTACAGAAGATCTAAGCCAGTGGAGGGATGGTGGTGGTGGGGAGGTCACTGATAATAAACAGGAGCTGTTTATTATTTCCTGAGAATGGCAAGGTCTGTTAAAGGCCTTATTTTGTCTGGACAATCGGTCCTGAAGAACCATGAACTATTTTGTTAAATATGGAGATCAAAAAATGTATAGGAAATATTGATGGAAAGTATCTCTTTTACTGCCTCCAAGTTTGGTAGATCAAGGCTTTTTTTCTTTTTTCTATTTTTTTGTAAGGGCAAACTCCTCATCTGCTATTTCCTCTGACTTCAAATAACTTACCTTTAATGCATTGATGGCTGAGCCACTCTAAGTTTCTTACCAGGAATCTCTCTCTAGGTTTTTTTTCTTTCTTTCTTGTGTGTGTGTGTGTGTGTGTGTGTGTGTGTGTGAATGTTATGACATATTTTTCACATGCACATGGGGCCCAGGGCTTAAAGACTGCCCAGTTACAAGTGACATCTCCCATCATTGACTGGGACAGTTTCCAAAAACAAACAGAAGGGGGGGAAAAAAAACTATAGTGCTGAAAAGACACTTGGAAAGTGTCACTTTTGATTATAAATGCTGGAGATCAAAGGTACAAGGTCTCAAAACCTACCTCCTCTAACTCAACATTTAAAATCTTCATTTGGCTTTTGAACCCACTCAGCATAATCTCAGACTTTGGTCTACAATTGGTTAAAAATTGATAGAGGTGATGATTCTGGGACTGCCTTCTTTACTTAGAAGTTTAAATTTTAACCCCTTCCCCTATTCCAAGTACACATATACATACAGCTCCTTTCCACCCCCCAACTTTAGGTTATGTAAATATATATTTAGATAAAAAGGTATAGAATTTAGAACAGACGGACATCATGCAGATCATCTGGGTTATTATTTCAGACAGTTGAGGAAACTGAGTCCTGACAAGTGTTTTGCTCCAGGCTCTATTAGGCATTCTAGGCAGAACTGTAATTAGAAACCAAGGTTTTTCTGGCAACAAATCCAGTTGTTGTTTTTTTTTCTACTTCACACTGTGCCCCGCGGAATTATGTGTGTGTCTGTGTGTGTGTGTGTGTGTGTGTGTGTGTGTGTGTGTGTCTGTGTGTGTGTGTGTGTCTGTGTCTGTATGTACATATGTTGCATAGACTCCGACGTGTAGGAAACATGCACCAAGCATCTGTAGTCTGACCTCAGGGAACAGTTTAATGACTCGAATTTCAGGCAGCTGAAAGGTTTCTGCGGGTGGAGGCTGAAATAAACAAGAAAAGCCACTGTGGAGATGTGAATGGAAAAGTACCAGTGCACTCCCTCCCTCCGCACATTCTTCCGCTCTCCAGCTCTCCCTGCCATCAAGCCGGCTTCAGATAGGCTTCTGCAGGGTCAGGTGTACAGACGGAGGCGAAAAGAAGGAGGGAAAAAAATGCAGGCACAACACGCAAATCAAGTTTTTCCACTTCTAGCCTTAGGTAGTAAAGAGAGCTGGTACAGCAGCAGGGCAAGAGGGTGGGCCAGCTACCCTGAGTTTACAAACACTCTGAGTTTTCCTCCCTTCATCCCTCTCCTCGTCCAGCTGCTGCTTTCCCTCATGCTAAGGTTTCATAGGAAGTGAAAAACCTGCTATTCAAAACAGTGATCAAATACAACAAACAAATGATTAAGCACCCCCCCCCCAATCACTTCTCTATTTTAAGCTCCCGATATTTATTTCCATTTTAAATAAGTGAGAAAAGTGGGAAATCAGTGTTGCGGGGGGAAGACTCTGAGCTAGGCTGAAAAGGTTTTAAAAGAAAAGTCTCAGAATAATACAGGCTGAAAGCAAGCAGCATATGAATCAAAATTAAATGTTGACACGTTTTCAGAAGGTAATGGTTGGAAATCATCTTTTACTTTTTTAATGTCTCAAAATTTCTGCTCAATTTCTCTAAAACATACCAAGAGAACTCCTTTCTTTTTTAAGGATAATATAGAGAGCTTGTGTTTTACAATAGCTTTAAATGAAGGATCTAAAATAAGAACAAATAGGTAAAATTGTACACCTCAGATAGATAATATCTCCCATACCCATCAAGAGTGGTGTTAGTACCACAGCACAGGTGACAAGCATAACCAAGCCCAAGTGACTATCAAAATGCCATATTCATCGTGACTTGGAGTTTGTTCCAAGAACCATTTTACAGTTTACACAGTGCAAAGTAGCTTTGCTTTCTGCAATTCTGCCAGAAAATAAGATACCTTCCTCCAAACCCAGGTAATAGGATCACCCTGCTTTTCTAATATGACACAGGATCATTAAACCACACAAACCCATTTTCAGATATGTTCAGAGGTCATGCATATCTCTAGTGAGGGCCAGCCTATACTATAGAAAGAAAAAAGCCTTAAGGATTTGAGTGATTAATCTGCAAGGTTCCTTCCAGTTCTAAAATCTGTAATTCTGTGATGTGATAGCTTAAAGATCTACCAAGGTCCAGAGGTTCCTGGCAGGTGAAACCAGTTTCCTTTTTGGAGACCCCTTAGGAAGAAGTCAAGGCAATGTTTATTCCATGGATAGGTTCTGGTTCCTTTACATCTATGACCATGGGGAGGTTTTGTAAGAGGAACTGGGTGTGAAATCTGTTTCTTTCCTTAAATAGATTTAATATTAGGACTACCTATTACCTATTTTATTTTGTAACATAGCTTATCTTTACCCAGCTGCTGTGATTAAGAATCTATTACTATGCCCAGGCTATGATGCAAAAGTGCTAGCCTGGTCCTCACTTCTGAGTATTAATAGCCAGGAACCATGACATCATAAGCCTGGTTGGTACACAGTATCTTCAAGCCTACAAAAATCACTCATAAGACCCCAGACGTGGAATTTCTCTTACGTGGAATTTCTCTTTATAACGTCTTACGAATGAAAGCTCTCTTTAGAGCTTCTTAAAAATGATTTAAAAGTATATGAATATGTTCAAGTCAGTCTTCTTTCATCCTATAACATAGCACTGCTGGAGGGTGGGCTGCCCACATAGTGATGCTTACTGGCTACTGACGGACCGAGATCAAGAAAGAGAAAGAAGGACATTCTGAAAGAAATTCTATTGGTATAACATTTAATAAGTTTACTTTCCTAGGAACTGAAATGAGATTAAGAGATGGATGCACAATTTTCCTCACCATTCATTCAGCAGAGACAGGAACCTACCCAAAAGTCTCTATCTTCAGAACATTTTCAGTAACGTTTTTGTCTTTTAACTGTCTTCTTCTGCTTTGATCAGTTTCTTTCAGTGTAAACACTGACTTGGCAAAAACAAATTAAAAAATCCACAAAAAAACTGTAGTAGAAATGTGGGACTCTGGCACTTGGTACCAGAAATAATGTGCTAAGGAGGTTTGAGGTCTCTAGTGGTGGGGTTAATTATCTATAAACCAGGTCTGGTGGGTTTTCCCTCCAAGGGCTCCCTGAAGAGAATTAAAAAGGGCTGACTTACAAGAGGGGTGAATTACTTCCCAGCCCCCATTCTGGCTGGTTCTACGGCCAGAGGGAGATTTCCCTTTGCTCTGCAGCGCCCCCATGGGGCTAAGGTTGGAGTGGCAAAGAAAACGCAGAAGGGATGAACTGTGTGTCTACAGTTGCGAGTAGGGGACCAACCAGTGAGGCAGGATGGCAACTTTGACAAGAAAAGTGAACAAAAATCATATAGGTAATCTAAATGTAGGACCAAGAATAGGGCCGAGCCATACATTTCACATTCCAAACCATACAGGTACATCTGAGAAACCCTAAAGTTCTTATTGCTCATAAAAGATAGGGAAAAAACAGTCACACATATAAATAAACAAAGAAAATCACCAGCAAAATCGGGGTATCATTTTGAATCTAGTGGGATTAATTTAAAACTCTTTGAAAATGAGGGATAAGGAGACAATAAGAAAAGCAATTTGCCTTCTAGCAGAATGGACCTGCACTTGACAATATCGTGTGTCTTTGGGGTTAAAATGCTCATTTCAACAACAGTGACAGGATTAGACCTATGTATACTTTTCAAAAAATCCTTTACAGGACAGGCTTTTCTGCAGAGGCTGAAGTAATCCATCTGTCCATAAGTATTAAAATATTCAGATTTTACAGGGACAGGCACTTGTACATAATTTCCTAAGCTCCAGCCCTTGTGGAAAGTAATCAACACCTTTGGACCTCTCCTGGTTCTTTAAGAGGGGGGGACTACATCCACAAGAGCATTTTCAGCAACTGACCTGAACTTTCTTCTGAGAAAGTGATCCCAAATATCTCAGTAACCAGGCAGCAGTCTTTCACAGCTTTGCTCACTTCTCCATTACAAACCCAAATTTGGGGTTGGGAGACGTTATTTTAGGAGATATCTTTATTGGAAATTAACATGGGCAGAAATTTTGTGGAACCTTCAAGAACTCATCTGTAATTTAATGAGTCGCCTGAAGAACTCTCATAGCCAAGGCTCAGAACAGCCTGACCTTTGAAAGTCGTTTCTGGTCCAAACATTTTGGGTTAATTCTTGAGGAATCTGAAATATTATTTTCCCCTCACACCCTTCTTTTAAGAGAGACATAAAAGAAACAAGAGTTTCCCTCATTCAGGGATGAGTAGGAGGGGAAAAAACCCCAACCAACATTTAAATAGGGAAACTGGCAGTTCTGAATAAACAAACAGAGGCCCACAGTGAAATGATTCTGCACTGTATTTGCCTTTAAAAAGAAAGGAAGAAAGAAAGAAAGAAAGATTTCCCCTTCTCCTCCTCCTCCCAACTCAGCTAGAAAGCTAAGAGGACTGTGCTGCGTGCAGCGCGTTATAGTTGTAGCACAGTCTGTTCTAAATACATGCAGTATCTGTGATACTGGCAAGGCAGGCCTTCAGAATTCCCTCTGGCTGATCTCTTAAACACAGACAGAAGAGATATTTTACAACGACCTTGAAAAGAGCCGAGGCGGGTGGGAAGTGGGGGAACGGGGTGGGGGTGGGAGGCGGAGAATCAAGACCTTAAGGAAAAGCAAAACACAAACATGTATTTGGCTCACAGACTTCTGAGAACACATGCGTACACATACCCATAATACATACACGTTTCTTGCAATAAGAGATCTCCTAAGAGTTAACAATAACAGAAAGAGTAAACCCACCACTTGCTGTCCTGGAAAGAAACAAACCAAACCAAAACAAATCCTTTGAACAGGTTCCTCTAGTGCAGGAGACCCTCCTTCCGGTGAAAGTCCAAGGGGGAAGAGGAAAATTGCACCAAAAAAAAAAGGGGGGGTGTGGGGGGTGAGAGGATTGTTACATACGATTAAAAATGTAAGCTTCTTTCAATAATATCAAATGCCAAAACACCACATCTTCTTTAAAATGCTTGAGAGATTTGGAAAGGGAAAACACACACACACACACACACAAAATCCAACCGATGCGGGATCCTACGATTTACGTAACATCACAAACTTGCAAACAGCAAAATCAGAAGAAAAATCCGAAAATCATCAAAATACAACCACCAAAAAACCAAGCCAGCACATCAACAAGGAAAAAAACAAAAACAAAAACCTGTCTTAAATAAAAATAAAGCAAACGAACCCACCGAAAACTGCTTTGCAAATATTTTTCTCGTGGTGCCTAATATTCTAGCTGGAAAGAGCTGTGTTTATTGTTTTTCTCTCACTCGCCTCTAAACCTGCTATATATAACAGAGTTTTTCCAACGGTTCGAACTTCTCTCTCCCTTTTGTATATTTAGCTCGAGAAGCTGAGTTTACGGGTAAGAGAAGAGGAATTAGACCCAGACCCCGAGAAAGCAAAGCGCACTCCCCGTCTTATGTCACCGAATAGCAAATTAGTTCTCAGAATTCCAGAGGCCGAGCTTTGCTACAGCGAAGACGCCGACGTCACAGAGGGGGCGCCCACGTGACGCTGGCGGAGCAGGACGTACCATCGCTCCGGACTTGGGGAGGGTGGGACACAGTCGGGTCCCTCGAGGCCGGAATCGGAACCTCCAAATCCGAGTCGTCCGGCCTGTGAGGACCTTGAAATATGTCGGGAGGAGGGAAAATACTGTGGCTTGGAGGGCTTTTTATGGGCCAGAGGAGACAAGAGTCCCGGAGAGCTGACACCGAGTCCTCCCCTGCTCCGCAGCAGTGGTAAAGTCCGCAGCTCAAATTCCGAGAATTGAGCTCTGTTGATTCTTAGAACTGGGGTTCTTAGAAGTGGTGATGCAAGAAGTTTCTAGGAAAGGCCGGACACCAGGTGATTATTGCTGTTGCCGCCGCCGCTGCCGCTGCCGCTGGTGCCGCTGCCGCCGCCGCTGCTCATGATCATTATTTTACCTTTTAATTCTTTTTTTTTCCGCTCTTGCCAAATGCTTTGGCTCCAAGTTTCCTATGTGTATCTATTGATATAAATGTATATTTTATTTGTTCTAGCTGTCAGGTGTTAAAATAAATGCCGAAGATTAGTCCCACGTCTCTCCCACTCTAGGATATAGATTTTTAAATATTTATTATTTAGTCTTGTTGTCTGAGTGAATCGGCCGGTTTGGGAGGCTTTTGCCGCCCTCTCTTGTGTTGTTTTGGTTTTTGAAAAAGCGGTGGAGGAGAGGAAGGAGGGGAATTAGGGGGCGGCCGGAGCAGAGAGCCAGACAGTGTTTGGGGCCGATTCGGGCAAGTCTGGGGACTGTCTGGCCCCAGTCGGCGGGGAGGACGCGCGCTCGCGCTCTCGCTCTTTCTGCTGCTGCTCGCGTACGGCTTGTGATCTCGCTGGATTCGTGCGGCTGTTTTTCCCTCTTCCCGCTTGCTGACTGCTTTCCTTGCTCCCTCGCTCCTGCCTCCCTCCTCCTCCTTTCCCGCGGCTCTCCTTCCTTCCCTTCTTCGGTCCTTCTCGGTGGCTCCGGGAAGTGAGAAGGGAGGCTGCTCGCTCGCTCGCCCCGCTTGGCTCCCTTCCACCGGCCTCGGTCCTCTGGATTGCCTACCTCCAAGCCGAGATTTGGGAGGAAAATGCAAGCAACTCCCAGGGCTTTTTTTTTTTTCTCCTTCGCATAAACCCAGATGAAGTATCGTTTCTACTCTTTCCTTTCGGAGCTGTGATCATCCTAATGAGATCCAAATGTTTTGGTGTCCCTTTCCCCCGTGTTTTGGGGGAGGTTTAGCTTGCCTGGGGGCGGGGATGTTGAATACTTTCAAAATTATTTTTTCTTGGTTGCAGTCTAAGGAGTCGGGAACCCCCGCGCGCTTCCTCTCCCCATCCTCAGGAGAGAGGCTGATGATGGTGGGACCAGGATTTGGGGGGTGGGGTGGGAAAGGGGTGCGTGTCTACACCTGCGGTGCTGTTCAGCGTGCGGGGACTCCGGGAACCATCACAGAACTGCCCAGCCGAGTGGGAAGGTGGCGGGATTTCTGGCGGTCGCGGTGTTTGTATTTTGGGCGCTGCGTGACTCGGTGTTAGCTCCCAATGGCTGTCCCCCCACCCCCCACAACCCCCCTTTCTAAATTTTATTTTATTTTTCCCATGGTGCAAGCTTTGTAAAAGAGACAACTGCAGGCCAGAGAGTAGCCGACGCCAGGCTTCAGATTCCCGAGGTCCTTGCGCTGGGCGAGGGGAAAAACAAACAGCCCTGGCCCGCGTTCCTACGTGCAAGACCCGGGAGGAGAGAAAGGCACTTTGTGGCCCTGGCTGGGGAACCCGACGCGGGAGGAGGGGGCGCGGGCACGAAAGGGAGGTCTTTGTGAGTGATTTTGCAAAAACGGCTTTCGAGGTTGGTTGGATTTGCAACCTGTGGCTCTCCTCGAGGGAGTAGGAATGAGGGAAGGAGGCGGCGGCGGCGGCCCGGGCAGGAGCGGGTGGGGAGCTGGAGCCTCGGAAATGGGCTGCGCTCGGGGTCAGCGGGAGCGAAGGGCCACCCCATTGCGGGATGTAGTGACCGTGGTAAATGTCTTGAGATTTGTGGATTGCGTTGTCTTTATAATGCAGTGTTATTGGAACTCCAGCGAAAAATGGAACTAGTATTGCAGTGAGTTTTAAAGCTCCCCAATGGAAAACAAGAACACAACCCAACAGATTAAAAAAAGAATGAAAAGCCCCCTTTTGTGTTGTGCCCCTTATCCAAATAGTTAGGGTTTGGTGCTGGGGGGCCTGACAATTTAGCAGAGGAATGACCCCAAACAGGGTGCTGAAAGTCCAGAGCTGTTACGGGGTCCCTGACCGACTCAGTGAGGTGGTCATCCCTCCCCCACCCCAGAAAGCTGACTTAATGTTTTACGGATTTTTAAAAAATCAGTTCATCTATTTCAGGAGGACGATCTTGTAAAGCTTTATTCCACCCCCTACCCACCCACCCCCCTTTTTTTCTTTAAAGCAAAGTGTCAATAGATGCCTTTTTTACTGTTTGGGAAAAAGAAGTGGGGCAGGAGAGAACCAGGGAAAGAACTGTTTAGAAATACAGTTTGTGGCTCCCCAATGCCGCCGGCTTCCTCTACAGAGACTGCCAGCTTCCCTTTTTGTTTGCAAGGTGTGTGTGGTTTTAATAAATAACTTAAAAAATAAGAGGTGGGCCGGCAAGATCTGTCAGGAGACAGGTATCTATTTTGCTCACTATTTACTACCAAGAGCCTTTGGCACTGGAACAGAACCTCGTAAATCTGCAGCCCAAGTTGAAGTTCATCTGGCCCTAGTCCACACGCTATTCCTGGAGGTAGCAAACATGAGCTCAAAGGAACAAGGTGAAATCACATTCTTGCTTTAAAATATATACTTTTTTTTTAAGGAGAAAAGATGTTTATCTCTGGGGGAGGAGGAAATGGAAAGAGCCCCAGGAGATGGGCATTCCCTTGCTAAAATGACTGTAGTTGAGTCTTCGGGCCAAATAGAAACCTGTAGATGGGAATATTCTTCCCTCCCCCCATTTACAAGAAGTTTCCAATATCCTATTTGGAAGACTTTTCAGTACTGGCCCAAGCACAGGATGATTTTAAGGCTCTTTTGAGAGTGGCAGTAAGGCTAGAAGCTGGTTGTAAAAATTGGCAACTTGAACAAGAACGCAGCTGGAAGAAGAAGGAATGCTCCAATTGACATTTTCCTCTGTGCTCAGTTTTAAGTTTTACCCCATTCTTTCTAGAAAAGACTCTCCAATTTATTCTGGTTGGTAGATGGCGATGGGACTTTAAACGCTTAGGCTGTTGTTTGCGAGCCTCGAAGAGTTCCAGTTATTGGTTGAGTAAATGGTAGCCATGACTAGATGTCAAAATCCTTCCTTCCCTCTCTCCCCTCCCTACCGGGTAGCCACACTCACTACCCACTTTATTATGAAAAACTTACAAGATTCAAAGGACTTGGTGCAGTAGCGCCACCCCTCGGTGGGTGAAACTCTATTTGCAGAAGTCAAATATTTGAAAAATACTGTGAAATGACTTAATGAGGATTTTTTTCCCCTTTAGGAAGGCGAGATAAAAGCAGCTTTAACGAAAAGGACTTTGCAGTTAATTTTTCAAATGAGAGAGAAAAAATCGCTTTCCAGCTAAGATGGTGTCATGATAAGCAAAGTAGGGTGTGTGTGTGCGCTATGCGGGGAGGGTTGTCTAGTTGCCTTCAAGTAGGCGTTCTACAGGTGGAGGTAGCCCCTCTCTCCCCATGGACTTGACTTCTCAGGGCATTTGAATTCTGCTACTTGTGTGACATTGAGATAAAGAGGCATATTTGGGTGTAAAAAAAACAGTGAGTGGAAGTCCTGTAGTTTTGTTGGCGGTGATGGTGATGTTTGCGGGGGGGTGGGGGGTAGGAAGATAAGGAGGAAGATTTGTGGATGGCGTGGGGCAGTGGTAGGATGGTCTGAACCGGGTTTGGAGCCCTCTGGGAGTCAAAGTAGTGTGGCGCGTGCAGGTTTCCTGCCCTGCGCAACAAGTGGGAACGCCGCCGCAGTTGCCGCCGCAGTTATCCTAGCGAGGCTGCTGTGTTTCTGCAAAGCTGACCGGTTCCTCTTCGTCCCACTGCAAGCCAGGAAAGGCTCCACTAAACCCTCCCCACCTTCCAGTCTGAGACCACCAGCCCCACCAAAAGACCATGCTCGTCCTCCCACCTCCACCCCCGGCTTTGTCAAGCGCTGTGAGCCTGGGTGGAATCCTACGGCCCTCAGGGTCCCTTTTCTCTGTGGGGATCAGGAGTTAATTCACGATTTTCTATGCTGATTGACCAGCGTTTGGCAGGAAGCTCTGCTAATACCGTCGAGTGCCATTCTGCTTTTTGGAGATAAGTGCACCTTTTCTTTCCCTTCCCAGTACATTCAGCCTTTGGGCTGGAAAAATCAACGTATTATATATGAACGCAGCTCCAGGTACCGCGTTGTGGTTGCTAGAGGTGTGAGCATCAGGAAGAACAGACTTAGATCCAAAAAATTAAATGTTTCCTCGCATTGCCTACGGAGGCAATCCCTCTCTCTAAACAGACCCCACCACGACGCCACCACGCTAAAAAAAAAGTGGAGGGCACTCGGGCGTGGAGGGCTGTGGCCACGCAGTGATTTTTCGAACGGACTGGGTCTGCCACCTAGTGGTAGGTCGTGGCTGAGTTCCCCGACTTGGATGGTAGAACGACCGCGTCACCCTTGGGTCCGTTCCCAATTATCCCTACCAGGTGCTAGTACTGACAGAGGGGGTGGGAGCACCCTTCAATTTGGATGATATCCGACCTCCGAAGTTTTGGTAAGATGATGAAAATTAGAAAACCTCCTGGATCCTTGCCCCGACCACGGTCGCTCAGCCATGGGCATCTGCCTCCATTAAGACAAAATACACCGTTTTGAACACACTATTCCCTGTCGCTCTGGCCTCTCTCCGGGGGATGTCGGTAGTGGACAGATGCCGTGGGGACTCTGGGACATCACAACTCTTTACAGATGAAACTGGCCTGAAGAAGAGGCCTGTTAATAGTGAAAAGTTACCTAACCGGGACCAGATTGTAAGCTTCTGAATTCCAGGTCAGTGACTTAAAGGTAAAGGCGAATTTATCTCCGCCCCTTTGAGGCATCGAAGAAAGAGGAGCAGCGGTCAGAGAGAGAGCTATGATTTTAATCTCTTAGCTCACCGTAGTTGGAACGATTCCCTAGTTGTCTTGGAGGAATTTATTTAGAAAATATGGCCTATGATGTTAGTTAACAGACACAAAAAGCCTACTGTAGTGTTGAGGGGTTTCAGATCTTGGGTGTGTGTGCATGTATTAGGGAGTCATTAAGGCCAAGTCCCTAGAGCTGCAGAAGTGCACCTCACTTCGCCCGACGTTCACATTTGGATTCTAAAAGTACTCTTCTCCCCCTTGCTTAGTGGCTTGGCGAGAAAACAGTTGGGAGTGGAGAGCGAGGGGCGGGGCGTGGGGATTCCTACGGACTGGCAGAATGTAATCCTGGTAGAATTTGTGCCACAACAGCTTCTTAATCAAAGTTTTCTTTCTCGGAGCTCAAAACTTAAGATGGCAAACGCGCGTCCGCGTGCTGGCGGCCCCTAGCGACCGCCGGCGTGCGTCCCCGCGGGAGACGCCGTTGTCTCCACCGCCTTGGTCCGCGGGAGTCGAGTTCAGTCTCTCCCACTGCTGGTCGAGGCCGCGTCGGAGAAACGCGCCTCTGTTCAGGTTGGAAACGAATATGCGGATGTGTTTGAAGAGCGGTCATGTTTGAGTCATCGCTTTCCAAGGACAGTTAGTGCCTTCTATCTTCAATAACGTGAATAAAGACCTTGGCTGACTTCTGTTCCGATCGGATTTTTAAAGGCATTGTTTGCTTGGGGACATCATGCCGCTGCCCTCCTCTACCAGACTTTTTGCAAGGGTCGAGCCCGGTCCAGCCAAGATATAGGAGATAACTTTGCTCCCGGACTTGGTTTGCTGGCGTTGTCTGCTGGCCCTTTCTGGAAGGCTGGCGCGAGCCGGGCGCATCGGGAGCGTCCTTTCTGCAGCTTGTCTTCAGATGTTGATGATACAACACATCCCTCTATTTTATTGCATTTCCTAGAAGCTTGCAGACTTGCAAGCTCACTGTTGGCAGGAAAGGTGATAGAAATGAAAGTCAGGACACTACGTCCCCAGACATTCCGGTCACCCGAAGCGACTTCCTAGGGTACCGCATTATCAAATTTGCTTTCATTTGCGTTGTTTGTCTCCCAACTTTCCTCCTCCCCCAACACAACTAAGAGCGCGAAGAGTGTCCCTCCCACCCCCGCCTAGAAAATGAACAACTCCGCGGTTTGACCCCACTCTCTAGCGCGGAACACTGTGGATAGTTAGCTGAGCGGACCGGCACGGCTTGTTAGCTGAGATGCTGCGCAGAAAGTGAGCTTTCGGGCAGGAGCCCTGATGTGGGTTTCACTACAGCAGCTCCAGCCTCATTAAAATTCCTCTTCCCTGCCCCTTAAACAGTGCTTTGCACTTCCAAATTCCCCTTTGGGTTTCTCAGCGACTTATTAGAGTTATTAGATTACCAATGACCCAACGGCCGACCGGGACAGAGATGCGGTGGGGGGAAGGGAGGAAGTCGTTCTCCCAATCTGTAGACGGAGTCTAAAGTAGGTCAATGGGAAGGAGGGGCGGAGCGACCATGTTGGTTTCAAGCCTTGATGGAGAGCGCTCTCTAGTGTTAGGCTGCGGTAAAACACCATTAGGTTTGAGCTCCCGGAACCAGCGGACTCCTAATTTCCAATAAACGCATTTACTTAATTTGTAACTTCCCTTCCTAGATTCTCACCCCATCCCATATTAAATTTCAGACTTCGCTTTCACATTTACTCCCCCAGGCGAAGGGAAGGGAAAGCATCAAAGAAGGATTTTTATGAGGCCAAAGAGGCCCAGTCTTTACCGACGGATCCTGATCCTACCTCCGCCGCTGACAGGATGCACGGCGCAGCGTGACACCGCCCACCAGTTTTACGGCAGGACAGCAGCCTTAGAGGCTGCGACTTTCGCGCTCCACCCCCCGCCCCCCGAAAACGCCTCTCGGAGCCAGCTAATGAGACTAATTAGGAGATGGCGCCCAGGGTGGTAATTCCCAGGAAGGCCTCCAGAAATCTAGGCAAACTTGGAGCGTGCCGCGGCGCTCGCTGGGGTCGGCGTTCGTGCCTCTGCTGAATCCTGTGTCCCTACGGTTTCGGAGAAATCCGATTCGGAAATCCCGAAACCTGGCCAGGTTTGGCCTGGCAGCGCCTATTCGAAAGGCTTTGGGCGGAAACAGAGACGAGCTGGGTTCCCTTTCTTGCCAACGTAGGCGGAAGGGACTTTTGGTTTGGTTTCCCTCCAAATTGGCTGGAGCACTCTGGAGGGAGACCCTCAGCCATAGAGAGTCTCCATGTTTCCTGACGCCTCACCTAACTCCCTTAAAAAGGGGAGGGGGCAAGCAGAAAAAGTGAGAAAGAAAGAACGAAGGACACGACGCACAAGGGAAACAAACGCGGGAACTGGGCGATGTGCAGTCATAAAATGAGCTTCGGACTAGACCCGAATTCCTGGGCTGTAGACCGGCTCTGCTGACTTGTCTGACTTTCCCCATTGATAAAAGTGTTACGGAGGAAGGGTTGGGCTAGGTGAACTCAGAGTCCTGGGCCGGGCGCGGACGAGGGATTTGGGGGAAAGTGTTGCTTATTCCCCACCCCACCCCACCCCGGCAAACCTTCCCCAGTGGCCCCCCTCCCCGGTGAATCCCCGGCGGCCCGCGCGACGTAGGCTGCGATCCTGGCCGCTGTCGGGGGCCGGCAGCTTCCTGGAAAGTTACTTCTCCTTGGAGCCGTCGATAGGCACTGTTCTGTGAAATCCGCTGAGCTTAGATCGACTGTGTTCCGGGAATGAGAGGGCTGTGCCATTCCCCTCACTGCCCCTGCCTTGACGGCGTAACAGGAAAAAAAAGACGCATACAATGTTGGCTACCGAGGTGCACAAAACGTTTTATTTGAGTGTAACCAAATTAAGGCCTGCCACGGTCGTAGTAGCGTCGGGCCTCCAACGCACCTGCGGGGGCTTGGAGGCGGATGGGCAGCGGTGCCCACAGAGCGCCTGGGCTGCGCGGTCCCTGGCAGACAGGTACGGTAAAGTGGGGGTGGGCGAATCTGCGCGGGCTCGCGGCGACGCGCAGGGCTCGGGTGTGTGCGTGTGCGTGTGTGTGCGCGCACGCGGGCTGCGGAGAAGGGGGCTGCCGAGTGTCCTCCCGCGTGAAAAAGGCAGGAAAAGAATGGGGGCTTTCCTATTGGCTTGCTCTCTTGCTGTTAACCTCGCCTCTAGCTCTTCTCTCAGCTCCTCCCTCCTCCCTCTTCCCCTCCTTTCTGTTGTCCTCTGCCTTTTTTTGACAGAGTCCCTCTTTTTTTTCTTCTCCAACTCCTTTAAAAGATCTGTCTTCTCGAGGTGCTTAATTGAAAATCCACAGGGGACGCCCAGAAGGAGAGACAGAGTGTGGGGTGGAAAGACAATGACTGACTCTCACTTGGTGGTCACTTTGGCTGAGGCAGTGTTGGGGGTCAGGGAGTCCAAGTCGGGACCCTTGCCCCTGTCAGCTTCTCCTGGACAGCTCTGCTCTCTTGGTGGTGGTTTTTGTGGAATGATTTGTGTATGTGGCATTGGTGGAGTGCTTGAAGATGATAGACCGAGTTTATCCGGGATTTTGCTGGGGATTAGCTTTGAGATCTTGGGCAAGGCCTATCCTCTGGAGCCTCAGTGCCCTCCCCAGTAAATCAGGGCTGTAACAAGGATCGGATAAAATAATGGATGGGACAGAGCTGAGAGGTTTGTAAAAACAAACCAAATACTAGTGGTTAGTTTACCCTGCAGCATCCAAAGGGAGGCATTGTGTCCCACATACCCCCACCCCCATACTTCATGCACTCACTAATTGTGGGTCACTAATTGTGGGGCCTTCAAAGGTAGAGCTTCCGTAGGAAGGAGTGGACTTAACAGGAAGGGCGCCTTATGTATATGCATTTATTTTGGCCAAGCCAGGCAGAGGTTTAGGGTGAAAAGTACCCAGTCCAGGACCTGGTGACAGTGGACCCAGGAGAACTGTTTTGTTTCAATCTACATGTGCAGTGAGTCATTGCCCATTTTTCAAGGTGACATGGCAGATCTGTGCTTCTTGTGGTACTAAAAATCTCTGACTAGAAATCCACAACCTAGCTGGTGGTTGAAGCTGGTTAAAGGAGAGCTTTAGGTATTCCAGAAGTGTTTAGAGATCTCTTTCATGGGGGAAGAGAAGGTTTATAAATAAACCTCTCATGTGGTTTCAGCATTCTTTTTCAAGGAGACGGCCATTGAGCTTTGGTTAGAACCAATTTAGTGTATCTCTCTTTGCCCATCTTGAATTAGGATGGGGAGAGGAAGAAATAGGGTCTTTCATCTTTTTCTGTCCTCTCCCTTCCCCCATTTCTTCTCCCCACCCCGCACCACTCATCCCCACTCACTCACATGCACACACTAACCTTGAAGCTGATGAGAATGAGTGACTGGCACTTGGGACCACAGAGAAATGTCAGAGTGTTTGGTTACAGACACAAGGAAACCTCTCATTTTAGAGTGCTCATTTGGTAAGACTCAGTAGCCTGGAATGGGGGCAAAGTGTTTGTGTGGGGGAAGGAACTTAAAGATGAGATTCACCCACATTAGGGTGCTGTCTTGCATGTTCTACAACACGTAGGCTGATTTGGAAAGGGGACAGGAATTTGAGCCAGAAGACCTAGGGCCGGGTCAGTAACCATCTACATAGCCCAACATGACCTCCCTGGCCTCGGGCCCCTTTACTGGGAAAATAGCTCTTAAAGGCTATGCTTTTTTAAAAAAGCGGAAAGGACAGAAGGTTCAAATATTGTTTTGTTTTACAGCCCTCGTGCAGTCATGAGGTTCTTACACCTATGCTTTTAATTATTTTCTTTTAGGGAAACCAATTTGGAGAGGGCACGTACTTATTTCACGAGGGCTCCCTGGCCAGTTCTCAGCCAAAACACACAATTAAAATGTTTCACCAGCACAGGGAAGCACAAGCTTGGAAGTTTGTAACGCTCTGGTCTTAAGACCCAGGAAGGAAGGGAGAGAAAACTTTGGAAAGGAAGGCAAAGATTCCCAAGGAAAGCATAGAGACACCATGTCAGGTTGTATTCTGCAACAGATTCTTTGAGAATCTGTATTCAGTCTTAAGTGTTTCAGAGTCAGGAACTCCCACCTGTCTGTTTGTCCTGAGCAAACCACTTGAACCCCTGAGTTTCAGTTTTGTCACCCGTGAAATAGGGATAAAGATACTGATGCTGACAGCTTGTGGAATCATTCTAAGACTTACTTGAACAATAATATTTTAGTAGATTTTGAAATTCATCCAGAATTTTTAGGCCCCTGAAGGATCATTCTCATTAATATTGAAAGAACCACTTCTTTTATACGTTTCTCTCCCATAAACTCAAGTGGTCTTTGAGTAGTAAACATTTTTTACTTTGAACTATATGTGTAGATGTAGATGTAGATGCAATTAATGTATGCAATTGGATTCCCAGTACTGAGGGTAAAAACATTATTATTGCATAGCTTTGGGTACCTTTTGTTTCTGTAAGAGCAGAGCTGGAAAAATGCTAACTTGTGGTAAAACCACACCAGCTGGCAAGCTATAGCTATCAGAGTTAAACTAAATACATGTGTCCTAAAATAAGACTATAGTGGCCAAGTTTACATTCATTAAATCAATTTCTCTTTGCTTTTTTCCTCTTCCATGCAGGTTTTGAGCAAAATTTTGAACTGTGAATCAAGGCATTGGGTAAGTAAAATGAATCATATGCCTTAAAATATTGTGGACAAACTTTCTTTTGAATTTGCCAATGCATGTGTTTCTGTGAACTTTGCCCTTTTCATTAGATGAGATAAAGTCTGATGCCCTCTGCATCACTCCCAGCCCTCTGTCCTTTACCCCTGTGTTAGACTGTCTGACCTGTTGTATGAGTATTCATTCTCTCACTCATTTCTTAATCAAATTAAATTATCCACCTACTATGGTTTAGCACTGTGCTGGGTCCTTGGTGTAGATTCAGACAATTCTAAAGTTTAACAGAAGAGAAACAGATGTGGCTGGGATAATGAAATGGGATACTGCTGAGAATAGCTGCAATTTTTGAGGAACTGCTGTGGACCAGGCACAGATCTCTAATTTTACAGCCATGTAGAAACCAAAGCCCCAAAACAGTAAACTGCCTCCTGCAAGTCACGCAGCTAGCAAAAGGGAAAGCTAGCATGCTGATCTCCAAAACATGGTTTCCGTCCCCTGTACATTCACTGCCAGTCAATGCATGGCAGAGTATTTGGTATGTGGGAAAAACATTCTACAAATATTGATATTTTCCCTTCTACTTTCCCCTAAAGAGCTTCCCATTCTGACTTTTTAGGTAAAGATTATCCTCCCCATTTTACAGAAATGAAGAGTAATGCCCAGAGATGGACCATGAATTGTTCCAAGACCAAACCAAGAGGCCTCAGTTTGTACTCCAAACATTAGTAGGCTGAGTCCCCTGCTGTCACCCGCCTGTTAAGAGGAAACAGGTTCTGGAGAACTGATCCCCTTTTTTTTTCCAGGTGAAGACAAAATGGCCTCACCAGCTGACAGCTGTATCCAGTTCACCCGCCATGCCAGTGACGTTCTTCTCAACCTTAATCGCCTCCGGAGCCGTGACATCTTGACTGATGTTGTCATAGTGGTGAGCCGTGAGCAGTTTCGAGCCCATAAGACGGTCCTCATGGCCTGCAGGTGAGGGGTGTGGAGGGGAAAGGCTGGTGAACGAGAGGAGAGAGGGTGCCGGCAGCCAGCGAGGCGGAACGTGTGGGCCTTTGGCTGTGTTTGGTATCACATCTCAGCTGAATGCAGATCACCAGTACACAGTCTGGCTGAGTAGGTTCCCAGGAAGCAAAGGAGTGAATACGCTTCTAGAAAAGAAAGAATTTCTGTTTGGTGGGAAGAGGGAGAAGAAATCATAGTACTGTCTCAAGAAAGGATATGTTTGGAGTAAACATACAGAATAACTTCAGTTAACCAGTGAAAAAAGAGCAAGTGAAAGAAAGTTTTAAAACCATTTAAGCAAGTTAATTTGGACGGTTTTGCTCCTTTATTGTCTAACTGTATTTATTATAAATACAATATAAATATTGTATTATAGATACTGTGACTATTTCCTTGGGTGCATGTAAGTTAGAGAAAGCTAGCTAATTGTTCCTATTTGTCGAGTATTACAAGTTTTCAGAGCAATTTTATATTACATCATTTCCCCAGATCTTCACAGTAGCCTGTGTTATGGATGGCACCCTTACCTCCATTTTATAGATGATTAAATGAAGACAGATAAGTGAACTGATGTAGAGTCAGGGAGCTCTATTGCTAGTAGAGAACTTACTCAGCACTTACAATAAGCACCTGTGGTTTAATAGTGGCAAGAACAGAGGTTATAGACATAGACAGATAGTAAATAATGCTAACTGAATCCTACTGTGTGCCAGGTATTATTCAGTACCTTTTACATTTTCAATCTTGCCACAACCTTAGAAGGTAGACGGTATTGTTCCTACTTCGCAAATAAGGAAACCAAGGCACAGAGAAGTTAATTATCTTACCCAAAGTTGCATAGCTACTTACCTATTGAAGTCTGGCTCACTTCTGGCAACCTACTGAGAAAGAGAAGGATCAGGATGACAGCCCAGAATTCCGACTTACAGTTGAGTACTCCTTCCTCCACCTGACAACATGGTACCTGCAGGCATGGCCTGAGGTTTGACTTGCATCTTCTAGGAATGCTGACCTTAGGACAGTCTGTGGACCTTTAGAAAAGTAGTAGGGTGTAGATGTAGGCATTATTTTATTTATTTGTTACCAATACCCAACCTGCTTCTAAAAAAAAAAAATAGGATTTTTAAAATAAGGATAACATGATGAAACAACAAAGGAAAGGTTTCTCCCAAAGATATAGACTAAAAATAGTTAATACAAATGAGTGCTAAATTTAACTCTGGCAATCCAAGCAGTTAAGACTAAAGGGACAACAGGTTTTGTGACCTTGAGAAAAATCATTTAGCATCTCTGATCTTAGGTACCTCCAGTTATAAAGGGGAGAATGATAGTATCTGCTTTGCAAGGTTGAGAGGAACACAGGATAATGTATGTAAAGTGCTTAATTACTCTTGGGCATTTAGAAAGCTCTCCATAAATGGCAGCTCTCATTATTTGCCATGGAAGTTCTGGAGCTAGGCCCAGGGGAGAGGGGCTGAGCATCAACACTGACTGTAATTGATCACAGATTCTGTATGTCTGTTATAGTGAGTCATTTGTTTGTTTTATAGTGGCCTGTTCTACAGCATCTTCACAGACCAGTTGAAATGCAATCTTAGTGTGATTAATCTGGATCCTGAGATCAACCCTGAGGGGTTCTGCATCCTCTTGGACTTCATGTACACATCTCGGCTTAATCTGAGGGAGGGCAACATCATGGCAGTGATGGCCACGGCTATGTACCTGCAGATGGAGCATGTTGTGGACACTTGCCGGAAGTTTATCAAGGCTAGGTGAGCTGCCACCTAGACTAGAGCCTTGGAGATGGAAGGGATCCGAAACCCTTGATAAAGCGTGCATTCGGAAAAAAATAATCCTCTATGATATGTCACAGCCTACATTTCCACTATTTTTGCACCTTTCTGCCTTAACTCTTGTGCTTCAGGAAGACTTACTGCCGTCCAGATATATCCTATGCATTCCTGCCCACTATCGCTTGATGTGCCCTTTCCTCCCACCCATCCTGCAAGGCCAAGCTTGGATGCCAGTATCGCCCTCCATAGATATTATTATTGCCACTCTTCCTCCCTCAGCACTTCCTCTGTGTCCTGAGTCTCTGGCCTGCCCTATAGACCTTCCATTTTAACTGTTTTGTGTATATGTTTGATTTCTCCTTTCGACTTCGATTATGCCAGTTTACATCGATTATGCCCCACTTCCCCCGCCAGACTGTGGGCTGATTTACTCATCTTTTATGTTGCCCTGCTCTTCATTGGGAATCGGGACAACATTTATTAAATAAAACCAATTCACTGGGTCCAATCCCCTACCTGAGGGCTGATAAGACCTGACCCTCATTTAGAGATAAGGAACCTGAGAGCCAAAGAAGAGAAGAGCTTTGCTAAGTGGAACAGACTCAGAACATGAATTCTTGAGAGCCATTTGATTCAGCTGCTCGAGGGTGATTGCATCCCTTCTCACTCACCCAGAAGGGTTTCCAGCCTCTCTCTCAACACCTTCAGGAGTGAGGAACTCAGTCTTCCGAGAGCCACACAGCCTGCCTTGCACAGTTAGAAAGCTCCTCTTTATGGCGAGTTGAAATCTGGCTCTCTCCCCTCACTGGTTCTAGCTCTGTTAACTGTGATCATGTGGAGCTGGCCTCTTTTTCACCCACATAATGTCCCTTCAAGTATATGCAACTAGAGCTCTTTGTCTCCTGTGGGTGATAATGGTGGCAAGATCATCATCACTGTCACTGGCAAGTACTTTGTCTGGATTAGGCCTTGTGCTTGGAGCAGATCACTTGCTCCAGTCACACAGCTGCTAAGTGGCACATCTGGGATTGGAACCCAAGTCTGGGTGCTTCATCATCAGAGCTTTCTGCTCTGGCATATGCTGCCTGTTCTCCCAGGTGAACTTCCCTGCAAACCCAGGCAGCATATCAGGCGACAGGGTATCAGATTGTCTATGACCCTGTGGACGTCTGGCACCAGCATCGTATAAATTCCCCCCACGAAGAAGTTTCCATGTGTAAAACGGAGACAAAGACACCTTTCTTCCTTGCAGGATTTTACATGGATGAAATGAGAAAAGGACTCTGAAACTTTTATATTCTATAACATCTAAAGAATTACAGGTTCACACACATACATACATATGTGACAGAAACACACAAAATCATATCTAAGCACGCACACCTTGTGTGGATAACTTACTTCCCTTCTCTGTGCCTAGTTTCCCCATCTGTGGGCTAGATTGCTAGGCTTCAATGTAAAAGCCCTGTAACTGCAAGTATTTCACTGTTTCAGAGCCACATCCCTTATATCTTCCTGACCCAAGCACAAATGTGGTTACATACACCAGTGTCACTTGGAAAGTCATCTAAGAGTTCTGATCTGGAGGCCGATGTCTTCTCTTTTTTTTCCCACAGCGAAGCAGAGATGGTTCCTGCCATCAAGCCACCCCGGGAAGAGTTCCTGAACAGCCGGATGCTGATGCCCCAAGACATCATGGCGTACCGGGGTCGGGAGGTGGTGGAGAGCAACTTACCACTAAGGAACGTCACTGGGTGTGAGAGCAGAGCCTTTGCCCCCAGCCTGTACAGTGGCCTTTCTACACCGCCAGCCTCTTACCCTGTGTACAGCCACCTCCCTGTCAGCAGCTTCTTCTTCTCTGATGAGGAGTTGCGGGATGCCCGGATGCCTGTGGCCAACCCCTTCCCCAAGGAGCGGGCCCTTCCCTGCGACAGTGCCAGGCCAGTCCCTGGTGAGTACAGCCGGCCAGCCATGGAGATCTCCCCCAGCATCTGCCACAGCAACATCTACTCACCCAAGGAGGCAGCCCCAGAAGAGACACGGAGTGACATGCACTACAGTGTGGCCGACGGCCCCAAGCCTGCAGCCCCCTCAGCCCGGAATGCCCCATACTACCCCTGTGACAAGGCCGGCAAGGAGGAAGAGAGGCCCTCCTCAGAGGATGAGATTGCCCTGCATTTCGAGCCCCCCAATGCACCCCTGAATCGGAAGGGTCTGGTTAGTCCACAGAGCCCCCAGAAGTCTGACTGCCAGCCCAACTCGCCCACAGAATCCTGCAGCAGCAAGAATGCGTGCATCCTGCAGACCTCTGGCTCGCCTGCAGCCAAGAGTCCCACCGACCCCAAAGCCTGCAACTGGAAGAAATACAAGTTCATCGTGCTCAACAGCCTCAATCAGAATGCCAAACCAGAGGGGCCTGAGCAGGCCGAGCTGGGCCGCCTCTCCCCTCGAGCTTACACTGCCCCACCAGCCTGCCAGCCTCCCATGGAGCCTGAGAACCTTGACCTCCAGTCCCCAACCAAACTCAGTGTCAGCGGGGAGGACTCCACCATCCCACAGGCCAGCCGGCTCAATAACATTGTCAACAGGTGCTGTGAGAGGCAGGCCAGGTGTGGGGTTGGGTTCCCGGGCAGGGTTCCAGGGTCACCTCTTGGATGGATGCAGGGGCTCTATTCTTTTCTTGCCTGAAACGCTCAACATATTAGATGTGTGGAATAAGTGCCCATTTGATTTAGCCAAAGTAAGGAAGTATATTAAGCTTCAGTATATTTTTTTATAGCATGGGAGATAATTCCCATCTGTGGTACTAGAGCTCTCCTTGAACCCCAAAGGCAGCTCCTATGGTCTCAGTATGGCTGGGCAATCTTCATACTTGACCTGGACTGAGCCAGGCTGTAGCCTGCAGTACTGAGGGGAAGAAACTGGTCCCAGGAGCAGGGTTTTGGCTCACTTTGACCCCCATCAGTGATCTCTATGAATGTGCTGTTTAAAGGTAGACTTGAGGATTCCTGCAGTCCCAGATCCAGAGCAGACAGCTGAGCACAGGGTGCAGGGGCTGCCCTGGGGCCACATGGAGTGCTTCACCCTGCTCCAGCTGCTGAGGCCCTCTCTCCTCCTGCCCGCAGGTCCCTAACAGGCTCCCCCCGAAGCAGCAGTGAGAGCCACTCGCCACTCTACCTACACCCCCCCAAGTGCATGTCCTGTGGCTCTCAGTCCCCACAGCATGCAGAGATGTGTCTGCACACCACTGGCCCCGCGTTCCCTGAGGAGATGGGTGAGACCCAGTCTGAGTACTCGGATTCCAGCTGTGGTGAGTCCCTTTCCCTCCCTCCCTTTGCCAGGGAGAAGGAAGGGCCCTGCCGTGGCTCTATGGGTCTGTGTTTCCATTTTGTTCAGGCTGTTGCCACTGATTGGGAGAAGCTCCTATTACAAGCCCGTTGGCACTTACGGTCACTGGCTGATTGCCCCACTCTTGACCAAATAGGGAACCAGGCTGACCAAAGCAGGGATACAGCATTAGAGTTAATCTGGATTAACAGAGAATGACCAAACAGCCTTCCCAGCTTCATTCCAGCAAAGGCAGCCTGTGGGGCTGGCTAAAACCCTCAGAGCCTTCTCAGTCCTCTGAACCCAAACTGTTGGTACTGATCTGTGTCATGTCAGTTCACCCCGCTAGGCTGGACATTCTATAAGGAGAAGCATCTAACCTTATGCACCCCTCTGTCTCCCATAGGTCCTGGAGAGTCTCTAGAATGGAGTAGGTGCTCAGTTAATGTTAGCTGAATTAGATTAGATGAGCTGATTTATTAAATTGAAGATTTTGGATAGTCTGTGATTGGCAGCCCTGATTTTTCCCAAAGTCTAACTTGCCCCAGCTCTGGCTGTAGTAGGATAGTCCCCATTATACCTAATCAGGAGTTAGCCACCATGACATGTCATTTTTTGATTTGTTATAACAAAAGGAAGAAAACAGTTCTTTACACTGAGAGGTTTGGCACAGGGTCATGGACCTATAGTTGGGAGAGCAGGGACTGTCCCCTCCTGTCCCCTGGCAATTGCCTTCACTCTGCATTCCAGTTCCTTCTCTCTGGGCCTCTGTTTCTGCTTCTGTCATCTGTGGTCTCCGAGTCTCACAGAAGTGTTTGGGAACCATGAAATCCAGATAAGTTCAAGGGTGACTACATTCATCATTAATTCCTTCTTCACTGACCTCAGTATCATTGAAGTTGATTTGTATCTTACATTCCTATAATGCTTTGTGTTATACAGTATGCTCCTGTGAGGTAGGCAGGACAGGGACTTACCCTGATTTTGAAGATAGACACACAGACAGAGACTCGGAGAGGTGAAGGGTCTTGCCCAAGGGCTTCTGTGTATGAGTGTAAATAAAGCTATGAGCTGATAAGAAAAGTCAGTTCTCAGAGCTCTGGAGAGAAAAGCCTGCTGAGGTCTTCCTCAAGCTGCTGCAGGCCACGTGGTTCCCTGTTGGTCTGGGTTTTCCTTCTGGACCTTAATATTTAAATAATGTATCCTTTCTCCTCGTGACTGAGACTCCAAATGCTAAGAAAAATAAAATCCCCAAGGCCATTTGCTCTGGGCTCCCATGAATGTTGGATGGGCCGGAGCTGGGGGTTCAACCTGGCACTAGGGGTGGCTACAGAGGAGAGAGGCCTTGGAGCCCGACCTCCCTTCCTTGTGCTGACTTTGGTGTCGCCCTCGCACCCTCCAACAGAGAATGGGGCCTTCTTCTGCAATGAGTGTGACTGCCGCTTCTCTGAGGAGGCCTCACTCAAGAGGCACACGCTGCAGACCCACAGTGACAAACCCTACAAGTGTGACCGCTGCCAGGCCTCCTTCCGCTACAAGGGCAACCTCGCCAGCCACAAGACCGTCCATACGGGTATGGCCCTGCCCCACCCTCCCGAGCTCACCAGGGTTCCTGGGGGCAGGATGGGAAAGGGATCCCAAAGAAAGCAGTTAGAGGCCTTGGCACTCTGTGTAGTGAGGCCGGGAGCAGGCCCCGTGCTGGCCCAGATAAGGGGCCTACCCCTGTCCTGTCTTTGCTCACAACTTGTCTGCTCCCTATCTTCTTTGTCTTCCTTCTGAGGCATGCTATCCTCCGGCTTCTCTCCCTCTGCTGGGGTCAGAAGTATTAATCCCGAGGTACAAGGGAAGAAATTAAGGTTCTAGAAACTGAGAAGTGAAGTCAATTCAGTCTTTGTAAAGCCAGGAAACAGCTAAAAGCCTCTTGATTTCCTCTAAGGGCTTATTCCTTATCAACTCACATTCCTTTACTGGGTAGCTTCTAATAACCTGCTTCTTATGCAAAGTTGACTCTCTCTTGGTATTTTAAATGGATCCATTATCCCAGAAATTTTCCATAAAGGAAGGCTCTCCACCCTTCAACTGGTTTCCCCTGCCTAAGCATCTCCTCCAACTCAGGCTCCACCCCTCTTGCAAATGAATCCAGTTATAGTTGCCATGAGGGGAAAAATGTGTTTGTTCTCAAAGACAGAAACTAGAGCAGCCTGATTGGCGCCCCTCTGGAGAATGGGTTGATAACTGGATCAGTCTGATCCATGCGAAGAGCTAGAAGAGTCTTCCCAGGTCATCTAAATTGCCCTTCAGAATCTGGAAGGGAAACTGAGGCCCAGAGAAGGACAGTGACATGTCCAGGCACCACATGTAAGCCTCATAACAGAGCCGGCTCCAAGAACCTCCTCCCCTGCTGTCCCGCTCCCATTATTTCCACTCCTCCCTGCCACCACCTGCCTCTTGGCCCTGGTGCCCAGCAAGGTGTACTGTGTGTGAGGAGCTGGTATAACCCCAGCAGGCCCCTGGAGCCTCTCTGACGTAGTTGATGGGAAAGGAAGCTGAGGTGGCCCTGGGAAGGTTACTTTGCTTTGAGATCCAGGGGCCAGGGACTGTGGAGACCTCCACAGAATATGGTCTTCCCTTCCCCTTTCTCTTGGAAATAGGTGAGAAACCTTACCGCTGTAACATCTGTGGTGCGCAGTTCAACCGGCCAGCCAACCTGAAAACCCACACTCGAATTCACTCTGGAGAGAAGCCCTACAAATGCGAAACCTGTGGAGCCAGATTTGTGCAAGTGAGCAGGGGGTGTAGGGAAAGGGTCCCTCACTATCTGCATGCTGAGAAAGGGCTGTGGGGGTCTGCGGCCCACCTGACAGAGCCTCTCACCCTTTGCCCTCCCATCCAGGTGGCCCACCTCCGTGCCCACGTGCTCATCCACACTGGTGAGAAGCCCTATCCCTGTGAAATCTGCGGCACCCGTTTCCGGCACCTTCAGACTCTGAAGAGCCACCTGCGAATCCACACGGGAGAGAAGCCGTACCATGTATGGGAGCCTCTTGTGGCCACTGGCTGGCCTGGGAGGGGCAGGGAGGTGGAGGGGTGGGGCACACAACTGTCTGCTCCAAGGTGCTGTGAGAACTAATGGTGGTAAGATGTGGACTATCAAAGGCACTGTGCTTGACCTTGGCCTGGGTCTCAGTTTGCTCATCTTTAAAGAAGTGGTACTGGACTAGGTGATCTGGGCCTTAGGAAAGAGGTCTGGACTATGGATACATAGATTTTGGAATCAGTCATGTTTTCTACAAATACTGAGGCCTTGCAACATGCTCCTTCACTGGGCTAGGTGTCTTAAGAGGATCTAAGGTATTTGAGCTAAGCCATAGGAGTAGAAGGAGAACCACAAGAATATGATATATTTAAAAAACAAACAGATAAATAATTTCAAGAAGGAGCAGGTGGCTAGCTGCATAGCACAATACCAGGAATGGGGTCATTTAAATTGTATTGTTCTAGACCAGGTCTCAGCAGACTATGGCTTGTGGACTAATTTTTTTGACATTCTCTGAGCTAAGAATGGTTTTTATGTTTTTAAATGGCTGAAAAAATTGTTTTAAATACTTTTTATGACATGTGCAAATTATATAAAATTTACTTTCCAATGTCCATAAATAGATTTATTAGGACACAACACACATTTGTTTACATACTGTCTATGGGTGCTTTCACACGACAACTGCAAAGTTATAACTGTAAAACATTTACTAAGTGGCTCTTTATAGAAATAGTCTGCTGATCTCTGCTGCAGAGAGGAAAGATACTGACTGGGCAGAGGGTTGCCTGGGTTCTTACTCTGACTTTTACAGAAACCCTTCCTAGGATCTTGGGCAAGCCCTCACCCTCTCACAAGACCACCGTTTTCTTTCTTTATAAAATGATGGGGCTGCTGTAGACAGCAGTTCTCAAACTGTGCCCTTTCAGTCGTTGAGGTTCCGCAGCCCCTCAGGGCCGGACTTGACTGTGGCTACAGCCTCTTTACCTTTCAATTTTCCATTTAATTTAAGAGTCCAGTAGCTTTAAGCATGGAAACCACTGTTAGAGACGATGCCAACTTTGATGAGATTATGGCATCGCTCTAGGTACTGATGGGCACAAGAAGGCCTCAGTGAACACTTAACCCATTGGGCAGGCAAATGTTAACCTGCCCAATGGAGTTACCTTCATTCACCTGGTTAGCAATCCTTGAGTGAATATCTTTTTACTTGCTTTTTGTTCTTGGGCAAATTAGTTATCCTTTCAGTACCTTACTTTCTTATCTGTGCAATGAGCCTGATAACAGTACCCACCTCATGGAGTTGTTGCATTCAGCTAACGAATTCACTCTAGTGTCAGAATAGCGCTTGGCTCATAGTAAGATTACAGGAAGTATTTGCTCTTATAATTATTTGCTAGAAATTTAGATACACAGAATGTCAGAGATAAGAGTGATCTTGAGAGTCTGTTGACTCAGTCCTTTCTAGAAGGGAAAGCCAAGACCCCAAGAGAGAAATGACATCCTTGGGTGGGCAAGAGCATAAGCAACACTTTGGAAAGAGGGAGAGACATTTACACAAAGCTTACTTGTCCCTTAGCAGAAGCCAGAATCCACATGGCCTTCAAGAGGGAAGAGCTTCCCTGATCCTTCACAGGGAGGAATCTCCTTTTCTGGGTCTTTGAGCAATGACACGTTCCTTGGGTTGATAGCCACTAACAGTCTGCCTCTGATTTGCCTTCAGTGCGAGAAGTGTAACCTGCATTTCCGCCACAAAAGCCAGCTGCGTCTTCACTTGCGCCAGAAGCATGGCGCCATCACCAACACCAAGGTGCAATACCGTGTGTCCGCCACCGACCTGCCGCCGGAGCTCCCCAAAGCCTGCTGAAGCATGGAGTGTTGATGCTTTCCATTCGAGTCCCTTCTCAGAATCTACCCAAAGGATACTGTAACACTTTACAACGTTCATCCCACGACGTAGTGCCTCTTTCATCCACTAGTGCAAAACATAGCGGGGGCGGGGGCGGGGGAGGGGCGTGGGGACCGGGAGCCAGAGCAGCTCTCCTTTCCCCACTGCCATAAAACATTAAGAAATAATACTGCTTCTTCTCCTATGTGTAAGGCAAACCATGTCAGCAAAAGGCAAAATCATTTTCTGTATCCAAGCGAGGGAGTATGCAAAAGTTCTGACTTAGTCTGCAAAATGAGGAATGTATATGTTTTGTGGGAACAGATGTTTCTTTTGTATGTAAATGTGCATTCTTTTAAAAGAAGAGACTTCAGTATGTTATCAAAGAGAGGGCTTTAATTTTTTTAACCAAAGGTGAAGGAATATATGGCAGAGTTGTAAATATATAAATATATATATATATAAAATAAATATATATAGACCTAAAAAAGATATATTAAAAATATAAAACTGAGTTAAAGGCTCGATTTTGTATCTGCAGGCAGACACGGATCTGAGAATCTTTATTGAGAAAGAGCACTTAAGAGACTATTTTAAGTATTGCATCTGTATAAGTAAGAAAATATTTTGTCTAAAATGCCTCAGTGTATTTGTATTTTTTTGCAAGTGAAGGTTTACAATTTACAAAGTGTGTATTAAAAAAACAAAAAGAACAAAAAAAGCTGCCGAAGGAAAAATGTGTAGTTTTGTTCTAGTTTTTGGTTTGTATATACCTGTACAACGTGTCCTACGGTGCCTTTTTTCATGGAAGTTTTCAACGATGGACGAGCGTGCCATCCCTTTTGAAGTGAAGGCAGACACAGGGATTTGAATTGTCACTAACTAAGCTCTCTTTGGGAATGTTTGTCTCATCACATTCTGCGTCGTGCTTGTGTATAACTACTCCGGAGACAGGGTTTGGCTGTGTCTAAACTGCATTACCACGTTGTAAAATATAGCTGTACAAATACAAGAATAAAATGTTGAAAAGTCAAGTCTGTTTGTTCCAGAGGTCTTTCCTCATGTTGGTATCGGGACTTGAATGCGTCTGGTTTCCTCAGCTCTTAACCTAGTGGGGAGGGCTCACAGAGGGCAGCAGCTGCTGCTCAGAAAGGTGGAGGCCGGGGCTGGCCTCTGCTAGCTAAGCGTGAGCCACCTTCGGCTCCGAGCACCGGGTTGGCTTGTGGACTCCAGACCCTGTTACTCAGGAGCTCAGGTGGGGGATTTGGGATGGACTGCTCACCTTTATTTCTGGCTATTCCCTCCTCCAACTGTTTTTTCCCTCAGAGCTCTAAGCTGAGATTTTAATGACTTCAGTTCTAGTCCTGCTTAAACAGGTGTGTGAATTTACCTATTCTAGGCCTTGGAGAATTTACCCATTCTCTGCATCAAGAAAGCTCATCTTTCCTCCTGGCTACCTAAATAATCTTTCTCTCTGCTGGGGTACCAGGGTCACTGTGAAGGAGCTCTGACCCCATCATGTTTCTTAACCCTGGTGTGGAACTAGTTGGTATCTGCTGGTCAGTTGACAACACACCTATAGAATCAAGAACTTTATGAATGGCTATTAACCAAGCAAACCTCTATCCTTGCAGAAGTGCTCTTTGTGCAAGGGACCCTGTGGTGGGAGTCAACCACCTCCCACCGTGAAACTTGGACAAACTATGTTTCCTCTGGGTCCCCTTCCCAGCCTGTCCATGAGAGGATTGGATTAACTAACTCATGTATGATTCCATTATTCAGACATAAGTTGATGCTAGCTTGCTTTGGCACCCAGTATTATTTTACCTCAAAAAACCCCAAGCATCAAGTTTGATTAACAAGACCTAAGAATGGTGAGGACAAGTGTGGTCCTGGCCCCTGGCCCAGAAGAGGAAGCCTGCACCTCCCTGCTTCCCGTTCCTGGGTGACTGTCAGCAGGGATGTGAAGCCAAGCCCTTCCTGGGCCCTCAGGCCACAGGTTGGACACTGGTGTCCCTCAGCAGTACCTTTGCAGCAGGCTCTGAGCACGTGCTGGGAAGCTTCTGGGAGCTGACAACCCAAAGCCCCAGAGATCACCTCAGAAAGTCCCAACACCCTCTGCCAGCCACATGGCCTTTCAGCTCAGGTTTCCTTTGAAAGTGACTTTAAAGGACTTGCCAGCTCAGGCCTCAACTCACCCTGCTCTTTGAAAAGAGAAAATGATCCTTCTGCTCCCATAGAAACTTGGCAAAAGAGGTTACAAAACAGACAGCTTCAGGAATGACAGGTCACAGGCCTGGGGAAGGCTGGCCCCAGGGCTCCTTTGCTCCCTGAGGGCCTCTGAGTTTGTTTATGTATCATTACTGTTTAATAGAGAGACTAGGAGGCCCCAGGGTGGACAGTGTGGGTGGTGTTCAAGTTCAAACAAAAGGGAAGATAAAAGAGTGAGTAACTGCAGCCAGTTGATGATCAATAATAAGTAAAAAGCAAACATCTCTAAACAGAGAAGCTAGGGCAAAGGGAATATGGAATTTTTAATACAAAAGAGAGCTTGACGTGAACGCAACTTTCCACAAATACGTAACTTATGAAACAGGGGGCCCATGATGTTCTCTATATTGTGAAATTTTAGAGGAAAGACTTGAGGACCAGGTTGGTTGGTGGAGGTTAGAGTGGAGAGACTGGATGTTTGCCGTCTAGCCGAGCTATGAACTGGAAGGGATGGGACAGCAAAGATCACCTAGTTCAAACCTGTCATTGACCCGAAGGACAGAGATAGGCGAGGTAAAGAAACTTGCCTTCTGTCACCCAGCACCCCAGGGCTGGGATCAGAGAGCAGGCTTCTGCTCCTTACGGCAGCCTTTGTGCAAGGGACCCTGTGGTGGGAGTCAAACACCTCCCACCGTGAAACGGACAAACTATATTTCCTCTGGGTCCCCTTCCCAGCCTGTCCATGAGGCACAAATGTTCCCCTTTTAGAAATGAGATCTCTGAGGCAGGGACTCACAGGTCCAAGGTCACACAGCCACAAAGTGGCCAACTAGTGTGAATTCACACAACTAGTATTCCGTAGAATGTCAATCAATTTCCGGCCTTGGGAAAAATTAGCTCCTCCCTTTGGAAACTGAGTCCCATTCTCTCTGTGTCCCTCAGTAATAATTTTATTTAACAGTGATAAGAATATCTTGCATTTGTGATTGCTTATGATTTTAAAGCACCTTTGTATCCATGATCACATTCAGTACTCATGATCACCCAGAGTTCAGGGTACGGGGGTGGAAACCACACACCTACTGCAGAAACTCCAGAATCACAGCAGTGCCCCAAGAGTTCCATCCGAGCCAGGGGTCCATAATAACTTCAAGCTGCACCGGTCCACAGAATTTTCCAAAAGAAACTACTTTGGCCTCAGCCCCTGCTGAAGAGTCAGAGCTGGGGCAGCCACTGTCCATATCACGTGACCTGACCTCCCAACCACTGATTTGTCTGAGGATGAATGCGGGAACCAGGGCCAAGCCACCCAGGCAGGCCTCAGCCTTCATGGATGTACGGTGCTGCCTGAACAGGGAGCACCAGTAAGTCACCCCTCTGGGATTCTGTGTCCCGGGAATTGAGTGAAATATGGAAACAACCAGCCAGTGTTTTTTGAACTTTAGTCATTTGTGAATTGCCTTCATGATCCTGAAATAGCATCATACCCTGAATATTTATGTGCTATTTTTCTTTAACTCACTACTTTTTAGGTATGCTTTTACCCCAAATATAAATTAAAATAAATACTTAGCTTTCAAAATAAAAATGTTCCCTCAAGTGCCTTCTAGAAACTGTCTCGTGTTACACCAGAGATGTGCTTTAGAAAACACTAAGAGAACTGTAATGGGGAGGAGAGGCAGAGAGGCAGAGAGATGCGGACCACGGGAGAGTATCTGAGAAGGCATTAACAGCAGAGCGTTGGAGTGAAGTCCCTGGAAGAGGCTTAGAATGAGTATGACCTTGTAGTACCAGGTTCTATGAAGCTTGTCATTGAAGGCTTTTTAGATTTCTAGAAGATTCCATCCCTCTTATAACCACTGTAATAAGGTTGCTACACCACCCACCATTTGTGGACTGCTCTGTGTGAGTCCATTTCCTAGAACCAAAAGAGCATAATTCATGCATGTGCCCAGGCCTCTGCAACATCTGCCATTAAGAAGATCTCTTAGATTGGGTCCAGGCTTCTCACTAGTGGAGGCATGCCCTCATCCCTCAGAGGTAAGACGCAGAAAGTGGTCTACTCACAATACCACAACCACTTGGAAAGATACTGCTCCTCCAAGCCCCATAGCAGTGACAGGAGGCTTCCAAGAGGCATGCAGGAGCCCACTCTGCCATGGACTCAGTGTCCAGCACACGAAATGTAGTATCCATGGTCACACAGCTTCACTGGAGGAGAAAGCTTCAGTGATAACTAAGGGAATGACCTTCTAGACAGGCAGGTGCTTCAGCAGAAGGGCCTTGGACACTAGGAAGGGGACCCAGTGGGGCCTGGAGTCCATGAGGTCCAATAGAGCCCCCCAACCCTTGGGGCCTAGCTCTCTCAATTAATAAGTCTGACTCATTTAATCCCAAATGACGGGCTTCTCAGAATATTGAAGATGAGTTTCCTGAGTCTCTCCCTCCCTTGACACCTTATACAGTCAGCTTGGTTAAATAGCAAGACATGCTGCAAGTCAGAATCACAAAATCATGACTGGAGGAGCTTTACTGAATATGATCCTATATTCTACAGGTGAAGAAAGCAGGCCCAGAAGGGAAAGGGGACGTGCCTAAGGGCCACATGAAGAATTTTTACCAAAGAGGTCTCCTGACCCACAATTTGGTTTGTAACATCATACCAGGCTTCAAGGAGTGGACTGTCCATTTGGGAAAACAAAACGTAGATCAGTATATGGAAGAAAAATCACAAAGAAACATGAAGAGATACAACATGATAGCTAATAAGTGACATTCCTGAGGACTCAGTGGCTCTGTACAAGGGCATGCTCAGAATGGCAAACTGCTCGGTTAGAGCTGTCTCCAGCGGATAGCCTGCTGAGCTAGTGGCCTGTGCAGAAACCTCTCAGGGCTCTTAAGCATCTCCCTCCTTTCTGTGGGACTGCAGTGCCTCCTTCTGTCTGGAAAGGGCTGTCCTCCTTGATGCCACCATAGGAGCCATCTCTGGAGGAGGTTGCTTGCTAGGCTGCTGTGAAAATGCGTCACAAACTGAGTGGTGCAGACAACAGACATGTATTGTCCCACAGTTCTGCAGATTAGAAGTCTGAGATCCCGGGCTGGGCAGGGTTGGTTTCTTCTGAAGGCTGTGAAGAAGCCAGTCCCCTCCCCTAGCTTCTGCACTTTGCTGCAGTCCTTGGCATCCCCGAGCTTGGAGGGGCATCACCTTGGTTTGTCTTCATATTTGTGTGGTATTGCCCTGTGTGTGTGTCTCTGTGTCCAAACTTCCGCTTTTGCATGGACACCAATCAGATCTGAGTAGGGCCACCATAATGACCTCAACTAATTACATCCTCAACAACCCTATTTCCAATCAGGCCACATTCTGCAATCCTGGGTCTTAGAATTTCAACATGTAAATCTGGAGGGAAAAAATTCAACCCATGACAGGGATTGTCTGTGGGAGGAGGGGACTCTTGGAAGGGGTACCCTCCTTACCTCTTCTTTGCACTTTCTGCCTGCTGCCAAAGGTGAAGGGAACTGAGACTTGGAGGGCGTTCTCGATGCCAGGCACTGGGCTTTGTGCCCATGGTTCCAGGCAGCATCACAACAACCCACTGAGGGGGCTTCTTGATCTCTTACAGATGAGGGGAGTGCACCACAGAGGCTGGGGCACGTGGCTGAGGCCAGGTGTATTTCTCTTTCCCTTCCAACCAAGTGTCTTTCATTGATGGGCCTCACCTCAGAAGAGCATAAGGGACAAAGTGACTATGCTCAGTGAGGAAGCACAGTTTGGTTATGCAGAAGGGAGAAGAATGTAGATCCATGTGGGGTGGGTCTCTGT